TCCCTTCCCTTCCCTTCCCTTCCCTTCCCTTCCCTTCCCTTCCCTTCCCTTCCCTTCCCTTCAGTAGGGGTGAGAAAATAATCGTTATTGAGTACATGTACATAGGAGGTAAGGAGCTGGGGCACCTGGGTGTCTCAGTTAAGTGTCCAACTCTTGATTTCAGCTCAGGTCATTACCCCACGGTTTGTGAGATCAAGCCCCTCATTGGGCTTTCCACTGACATCACGGAGCCTGCTTGGTATTCTCTCTCTCCCTTTCTCTCTGCCCTCCCCCACCACCCAAAATATGTAAATGTTAAGAAAAAGAAGGTAAGGAGCATTTTCTAATCAAACTAATGGTCCCCTTGAGAAGCACTTACTGCCCAAAAGGACTTGGAACATGCTAAAACCATAATCGCTTCAGCAGTTACATTTTTCAAAAATATATGTGTGGATAAATGGAGACGCTCTTGTATTCATGTAGGTACATTCTTTTTCCACTGATGCCCCCTCCTTCCCCCTCCTCTTGCCACCGATTTGGCACACTTGTTCCTGGCATTGAGCTGCCCTCGAAGTGGTTGGAGGGACAGAGCAGATTGCCCGGACTTGGTGTCCCAAGGGAATGCCAGACTCACCCATTCATTTGTCAAAGACCTTTGGAGGTAGTCGCTCTTCTTTTCCCTGGGGAGCTATCAGTGACCAAGACTGAATGTAGTTCTGCACCCACAGAGCTTACGTTCTGGTAGAGAGAAGCCGGCAATGAACCCAAGATACAGAGGACAATCTCAGAGAGTCAACGATGCCGTGAGGAGGAGAAAATGAGGCTGCGATGGACTACGTGATGTGCCCAAGGTCACACATAAGTAGGGGACAAAGCCAGGACCCAAATACCATACTTCTGTGCACCAAAGCCCACCTTCCTGACTCTGGGCTACGTAGACTGTCTCACAGCTCGTGTTTCATCCCAGCCGAATGAGGGTTAGACCTTACCTCTGTGTTGCACTTTATACTCTTCCAAGCTATTTCCAGCACGTCAGCTCGTTTCACCTTGGGGCATTATCGTTTCCAGCTTCTCCTCTGAGGCCTGCCATGAATGCAAAGGAAAATGGCAGGAACGGATCCTCTTGAGCAACGGAGCCAATTAGGCTTCCTACGGAGGTAGGAACACTTACATTCCCATGACGTGAAGGACCAAGAAACACCTTGAGTCGGCCGTGTCTAGAGCAACATCTCCTGGGCCAGAATTTAAATGGGAAAAGACCTTTCCTTTCTCCTGCAACTCTTATGCAGTCTCCTCAGTGTTGCAAGAATGTACAGTGGGCAGCTCCTGTGTTCTTAGGTACTGTGGGAATGGAAGGGGATGACCACCGTGCTCTATTCTTCTGGAGAAGACACTTACCACTCAGCAGAGCAGCACTTATTCCTTCAGGTGCTCAGTCTTAGCAGCAAGGTTAGCACTTGACTATTTGCAAAGTACAATGACATCCTTGATCTTGTTTGATGCTCATGTGAACCTTCTTGGGTAGGTCCTAATGTTCCTCTTAATTACAAATGGGGAAACTGACGTCCAGAGGAGGCAACTGACTCAGTGTGTTTCTGTGGGGTTTGCAGGTGAGCTGGGCATTGAGATTTCTGACACCAAGTGTCCCCCTCGCCCCATCATGAAAGGACACTTGCTTTTGTGATGGCTTTGGAAGGAACTCTTCCAAAAACGCATTTGCTTCTCTGCCCTTTGAAGCAGAGGACCCCATGAGGGAGTGATGGTGTGTGGTACAACATTTTCTTGATGTGTAAAGGTACCTTTGTGGACACACATGTTCTGTTCTGCCCAGAAATGTATCTTTCTGTTTGTTAGTTAGTTTGTCTGTTTTGTTTTTAGAGGGGGAGCAGGGGCAGAAGGAAAGGAAGAGAGAGAATCCTAAGCAGGCACGGAGCCCAATGGGCTCTATCTCACGACCATGAGATCACAATCTGAGCCAAAACATGGAGTTGGATGCTTAACCAACTGAACCACCCAGGTGCCCTAAATGTGCCTGCTTTATTTGGGTATTTTTGCTTTGCTTTTTGATATCACTGGGCCTACATACTGAAGTCCTGGTGTTCGCTTTGTATTTTGAAGCTTCCAGCCAGAAGGCAAGCTTATTATAAATTGTTGTTGGCAATTCCAGTAGGATGTAAGTTGCTACAAACCTTTGGAGGGGCAATTAGGCAATAAGTTTAGGAAGCTTTAAAATGGGTGATGGGTATTGAGGAGGGCACCTTTTGGGATGAGCAGTGGGTATTGTATGGAAAGCAATTTGACAATAAACTTCATATATTGAAAAAAAATAAATAAGAATGTTCATCATTTTTGATCCTACAATCTCATTTCTAAGAATGTGTCCTACGAAAACATCCAGAAGGCTCCAAAGATATTGCTGTATAAGATTATTTATCATGACATTGTTGATAAGTTTGAAAATTGAAAGCAGTCAACAGAAGGAACAATTGGGCTTATGATCAAGTAAAAGAGATATTAAGTCCACGTGATAGAATATGAGACAACCATTAAAATTGGAAAAACATTATTGATGGCATTATGATACATTCATTTGTTAAGGAGGTTGTAAAATGGCGTGTGCATTGTGATGGCAATTTTGAAAAAAGAAACAGAAGTAGGAACATAACAGAATCTGCACCACCATTTTCTAGAGTTACTTCTGGGTGTAGGTTACGAATGGTCTTTATCTCTTTCTGTATGATTTTGTTTTGTTTTGTTTTCTACATTGAACATGTGCCGCTCTTAAAAGAAAATGCTCAGATACTGTTTAGGCATGAAATATTGGCCACCTGTGCAACAACCCACAGAGGCTCTGAGTAAGGCGAGGCTTGCGAGTGTGGGTATCAGATGACCGTGACCTCATGGAGCAGGGAAAATGTCTCTGCTGATTTCTAAATTGGGAGCTGTGTTGCAAAGGTTTCAGGAAAGCTGTTATGGAACATATTCCTGATAATACCCTTGGGCTGTGTTGCAAAGGTTTCAGGAAAGCTGTTATGGAACATATTCCTGATAATACCCTTCCTGATAAATACCCTACCCATGGGCAGCATGCTCTCTGGAGTACCGAAGGCACAGGAGCATTCATGCACCCCCAACCACCACCCTCTTACACACACATCTGTACCTTGTATTCCCGAACATCCTTAGATTGATGGGCCAGTGTAATACAATCCCCAGGAAGCCCCAACTTGGTTAGTGGGGCTTCTAGACTGAGTCTGCCAGACTGGGGAGCCTTCACGGCTCCAAGAATCTGCTGAGTTAGGACAAGCCTCTGGCTTCTAGGTGACTGGGGGAGGTGCACTCGCACTGCAACCCACCCCAGTCTCCTCAGCTTCTCATGGAGGGTTGGGGCAGCAGGCAAGATGATGGACCCCAGGCTTACTTCAACCTCAATGAGCCAAGAAGGGAACTGTGGCAATTGTCTAACAGCCAATGGTAGTTGTTAATGTTGGTGTATTTTTTAGTAGTCCACAGAAATCTTCTAAGAAAGTGAGATGCTTTTATTCATTCATCCAGCAAATATTCATTCATTCAACAGATATTTATTCATGTTAGTTTCTAGGAGAAAGGAGGATGAATAAGAAACAACAGTCCCACTCCTTGCTATCTACACAAGAACACTGCAAACATATTTCCACACAAAAGCCTGTACGTGAATGTTCATAGCAGCATTATGCACAGTCCAAAAAGTGCTAACCCGAATGTCCATCAACCAATGAATGGTTGAATAAAATGTGGTACATCTATGATGAAATATTATTTGGCCATAAAAAAGAAATAGAGGGGCACCTAGCTGGCTCAGTCAGTAGAGCATGTGACTCTTGATGTTGGGGTTGTGAGTTCGAGCCCCACGTTGGGTGTGGAGATTACCTAAAAAAAAGGGGGGGGGGCGGGAATAGAGTAGTGATAATGTTACAGCCTGGATGAACTTTGAAAACGTTGTACTGAATGAAAGAAACCAGACCCCAAAGTTCTCATGTCATGAGTCCACTTACATGAGATGCCCAGAATAGGCAAATGGCTATAGATTTCTAGACAGAAAGCAGATTAGTGGTTGCCTAGGGTTTTTGTGGTGGTAGGAAGGGCGGAGGGATGATGGCTGAGGGAAGCAGGATTTCCTTTAGTGGTGGTAAAAGTGTTCTCAACTGCATCATGGTGCAGGGATGAATGGGGTTCTACCCCTGAGACTCCAGCTCCAGGTTGGGGTGGGCAGGAACATCACTCGGTTGGCTGGGCTCTGCCCTTGTCGCTTGGTGGCCCAGGGTGTGTGGCCTGACTCCAAATAGTCTCATTGTAGTGACTGATACGCTACAACAAAGCCTTAATTTTTTGCAGACGAAGGCTGAAACATGAGGTTAGACCATGCGCAAGGCAATGATCCCTCTCATTGCTAGAAAGCCAAGCTACAATAGGCATCTGCTTCTCCCTCCGCAGGGCCCTGGAAGTATGGAACTACTGACAAAAACAGATGCTAGGACCTGATAAGATACCCCTTTGTTCCACTGTTACCCAGTGTCCTCAGTCCTACGGGACAACACTAGGCTGCGCATTGCAATTCAGCCCCAGTCTCCCTTTTTCCAGCACTGTGGTCCCAAGCAAACCCTTCGTCCAAATATCCCCATATTTTCTGGTCTCTGTCCATCAGTTCACACTGTTTCCCCTGCCCCGATGCCCTTTCTCCTTCGTTCCTTGTTAAAATTCCACCTCATCTTTGGCATCTTCAAGATCTGGACCAAATGCACTTCCCTCCACTTACCATGTGCTTCTATGCTCTCTGCTTCCCTCTCACTCTCCAGCGTCAGAAGGCGTTGCCCTCTCCTCTGCAACCCCCACCCCACCTTGTTATCCTTTGCGCCTGGGTGACGGTACCACCCCATCTGCCCATTGTGGACATTTCTGGATAACGATCTCCTTGAGGACTGGGCTTTCATACGATCCCGATTTTTATGCTCCCTGGTGCCCAATGCAATGCCTTGCACATAGCATGCCCTCAGGAAACGTCGTCTGAATCACCGTATGGCATTTTCCTAGCTGGGTGGGCTAGCTGTTTTCTGCAGAAACTCAGCAGACAGGAATTCACCACTAACCAGCCTGAAACTCAGGCAACTGATTTCACAGATGGAAACTGTTTACAGAATTTTCAGCTCCCTCCGCCCATGTGTTCACTGAGGTGCTACATTCACTGGTCACTTCTGGGACTCTGTATCTCTCTGTACCTTCCTGCCGATCAGCCAGTACACCGCTAAATGCCAGCAGCTTCCGCAGAGCACCCTGGGAACACCACCGAGGGTGCTCTAAGGACCGGAGAGGGAGTTGCTAAAGCTGAGAGATTTTCAGTTCATTATGTTCTGTTCAGTTAAGCCATCAGTGATATTTCTTCTTTAGACCTTCATGCTTTTCTGCCAAACACACAAATATCCCAACCGCTTGCCTCCATATTGGTGAAGTGCGGAGAGTAACACGATGGGTCTTGTAGTAGAAAACCAGTGTTCTCTTCCGTGGGATTTTTAAGGGTCTATTGTCCTTTTGCGCAGAATTTTATTGTGTGTCGGTGTCAGTTGGTTTTCCGGAGGAGTACATGTCCAAATTTATAATGAAAGACAAGCAAAGTGGGACTTCACGGCCTTGGCCGGACACCAAGTGATAGCTAATTTTTGCAGCAGGGAAGATGAAATCAAAAGTCCCTGAACTGCAATTTTGGTTTCTCCTTCTGTTGCAAAACAAAATCGTTTCAATAACACCCTCCGGTCTTAATCAGAATTATTAGTTAATGAAAGTATGTCTGTATTTCCAAAGTGTATATATATATATATATATATATTTTTTTTTTTTTTTCATCTTAAATGTCATCCTGGCATTGACAACTGTGTTTGGGGGCTTTTATTTTTGATGAAGACAGAGGAGTCTGGTTAAATGCATTAACAGTTCATTTAACCTAATGAACTGGAAGACAAAACAGAAACCCAGTTGACTAGAAATCCAGTTGACTAATTGTTACTCTTTATGGTTGACATTAGCTGTCACCTCGTCTTCAGTCAATATACAGAAATAAGTACGGCCATTTGTATAATGAAGGGGTAACATTTCTGCTTGAAACTATCTATTTTGTACCCACTTGATTAATTTCAGATTCTGAAATCGGGAATGTCATGGTAACGTAAACTCTATGAGCCATTTTGGAATCTCATTTGCTTCCAAGAACAAATGAGGATGTTAATTTACCTAATTTCTTATGACAGGATATAAACTGTATATAGCCCTAGATAGCCCCTCGCGTGTCCATTGTTCTTGGTCTCTCAGACCCCTCAGACTCTACTTTGCACACGCATTGCATACATAATCCTATCTACACACACAGCCATCTTGCTTTTCTCTCTCTCAATTGCGTTTCTCTGTGAGATTGTCCATTCTTCGTGGACTCTGACCTCTGCTCCAGCCGTCAGGGGTGCTAATGGGCTCATCTAGTATCTTCTCTTCCCAAATCACCCATACTATTTCTTCAGATCTAAGATGACATTGGTCGCAAGACGTTTCATTAGTTGGTGTACCATTAAAAAAAAACCATGATCATTGCAAGAATACAGAGATTTCAAGTTACATCCTGATTTGAAAGAGGGTTAAGTATGAGACTGTGTGACCCCTGGAATTAATGAAATGTGGCACGCGAATTTTGAAGGGAGCCTTCCGGAGGCGATGCCTTAGTGACCCCAATGACGGAGCATCAGGCATCCTGGCAGGTTGGTAGGGCAAGAGGTTGGAGTCAGGGGGCGCTTTCGTTGCCACACAAATCCCACCATTGTAGTAAGCTGCCTGTTCCATCCACAGAGTGACTATGGGTGGGAAGATACAGTATAAAACAGCAAAATAAGACATAAACATAAAAGCATGTAAATAAAGGATCAGATCTGCCTACTGTAGGAAATCCAC